TTTTGTATGTAATTTGTCTAGTATTTTTTTCTTTCTTATTTTCTTTTCTAAATGTACTTGTATATCGTTCACATGTTGAAATAAATTACCAATCAATCAATCAATCAAACTAAAGAATAAAACAGATGACATGAGTAAATATAAGTAAATAAGAAATATTCCACATGTAAACAAATGAGGTTCATTAACAGGTTCAGTGAGAATATTTAATGGAGTTTTCGTGTAGAACAAGATGCTTTTAGTTTGTTCTCATGCTCGATTTTCTGGCTTCAGGCTGAATCGCTTTCATGAACTCGTGATATTATTTTTTAATGAGAACACTTAAAAATTAAGAAACTCGGTGAAGAAATGGTGATGATGCCTGTGTTTGTGTTCAGAGTCACGTCCTGAAGAGGAAGTCTCAGTGCAGTTCACTCCCTGGAGGAGCCACCTGGGGGCGCCACAGAGCCAAGGTTTTATTCTCTGAATGAGAACGAAGAAACCACAGAAACAGTACTTTTATTGATCATCGTGATCTGATCATTAGTTCCTAACTGTCGTCTGTCTGTTCACAGATCAAAACGCTGAGCACATCTACCACGCCATCGGAGGACACGGCACCAACCCGGACATATCATCACCAGCAGTGCCAGCCAATCACAAGCCAGCCAGAGCACATGACGCCGCTCTGGAGGATTTTAGCAACTACGACAGGGATTCGGTTTATGCTCAAGTCAGCAAGAAGCTGAGCTCCAGTGCTTCACCTCCACCTGTCCACACACCTGCGGAGGTACCGGAGGAGGAGGAGCCTTCACCTCCGCTGCCCGAGAGGGCGGCAGAGATGGAGGGATGATGGATGAAGATCGAGAGACGGTGTGAAGAGACAGAATGAAGGACGCCAGGTCCTCCCGCACGCATCATCAACGCCAAAACCTGAAAACTACATCTGCCAATCAGAGTGCTGGAACCCTGACACTCATGACATCACAGCGTCAACATCTCAGCTTCAGCGTCTTGATGTGAGGTTGAATTTCTAATGCCA